TTTTTAAAAAAAAACTTCTACTGACTTATATTTTAGAAAAATCTTGAATTGCCATCGCCTAAACCTTTAAAGTTCATAAATTAATGGAGATGCCACTGCACTGCAGAATGCACAATTGTGTTAGAAGAAATGCACATAAATACGTATGAGAATGTGCGTTTGCGTAACAATGTACTCTACACAATGGCTAGCATGCTCCGGCGTGAAAATAAATTTGAAAATGAGTTTTTGAATTGAAAATGGCCTAACACTACTTGTATTTATTAGTTTAAGCACGATTTATGCAACCAGAGTATTTGATTAGTGGGGTTTATGCATTAAATGATACTAGCATATGATTAGTGTTTATTATGACTTAATAGAAAAGGGTGCATTCATTTGGCATTTTTAGACTTTTTAGCATTCTAAGGACTTTTTAAGACCTCAGAAATCATGGTGTATTTAATATAGACTTTTAAAAGTCTTGAGATATTCAATTGAGATTTTAAAAAGTCTTACAAAATTCTGAGTTATTTAACTTGTTTGGGACTATGTTAAAAAATACACCTCGTGTAGTGATGTACTAGTTATACATCACATCACATATGTATGCTTATGTAATAATGTAATCACGCCATAATTTGCCTCTATTGTATAGATTGTTAGTTGTTACATTGGGTTTCGACAAATGTAGGTTAGAATGTCCGTAGAAAAAAACAAAAAAAAAAAAAAAAATGTAGACGCTTGTTCGTGAGAAAATTCTGCCAGCAATTCTGAAAATTGAAGTTATTCTGTTACTAAATTTTTGTCTCTCACCAAGCCTTCCCGCTCACCCACAAAACATAAAATAAAATACATAAATAATTTCTGTCTTCATTACCTTTGTCTCCTCGTGACGAGTTTGAGTCTATATTTTGGTATTTTATTTCAAAACAATCATTAATAAACACAAACAATTACAGACTAGAACAACAAAAATAGCTAAACCCATCAGTTACTAAGCCGAATCGAGAAAGAGACCTACACCGAAGCAGCCTCGAAGCCGTTAACCAGATAAAAAATGTCTTGGTATTCATTCCTCTTGGCTACCTATATAAATCCAAGGTAGAGACACTCCTAGTGTTTTATTATTACTTCGCATACAAAGAAAACTGTAATTTTATTTCTAAAGCATAAGCATGATTTTTGTCTGGTGGAATTTTCTGATGAAACCAATGAAGCCATAACCAAATAAACTAGGGGACTAATTGCAGTACCAGAAAGCATACATGCAAGAATATCAGTCACCCCCGTCTGTCAAAAACATCGTTAAAGGTAAAACAAAAAAGACGAGAAGATGAAAAGTCTTTTGTAGTAAACTGCAAAAAGTAAAGGACAAGAAGATGAAGTTTCATAATGACAAACCATCCTTAGTGTACATAATATGTTATGTACACTAACACATCCAACATAACCAAAATCGAGCCGCTCATCACTAGTCCGGGTTTTACATGAAGCACGAACCAGCATAAAACATGTCCAACAACTGCAGAAGTTGGGGCCGGCAAGCCATAATGAATAAACAAAATAAGATTAAAAAAAAAAAAAAATGGTTCACCACATAATGCCTTATTCTGCTTTTGTATCAAGCTCATAAACCTTACCCACACGGTAGAGACTTCATACCTTATTGAAAGCCGAGTCTAAACGGAGGCCTCAAAACTATGATCGTTTGCTTCAGTTTCACAGGAAGAACCAACCTGGAGATATTCATGTTGTTCATAAACAAATTGGCAGCCTTCTTCCATATGGGTGTTATAACAATTCTGTTCAATTCCAATATCCGAGAATCACGTCGCTTTGCATGAAAAATCATAAATATTACCCATTTGGCACATGGTGCTGCATCCTAGAATCTGCAGAAATGATACCCACCAGAAATCATTTACAAAATTAAACATAATATTTATGAAAAAATCCCGAGGTTTAAGCTAATTGCAAAAGAACCCAAAAGAGTTCAACATCGTACCCCAATCTTCGACCAATGGAATTCGCTGATGCCACCAGACATCCTTCAATATATTTGAATAATACAAAGGCCCCAATATCTTGGAAAAGATGAATGATGTAATTATAAAATTGAACAAACCAGAGAAAAATATGTGATATGATATGCAATATTTCGTGACATTAGCTCATTCAAGCAATTCAATAAATGGTTGGTGGTTTAAATGCAAAAAGTAATATTACTCACTCCACTAAATAAAATAAATTCATTCTACCCAATGCCACTAGCCTAAAATTGCCTGACTGTTTTTTCCATTAATAATATGTCTGGTTCAGTCCGAGAAAATTATATACATATAACATATGCAATAAACTAAAACCCCATCAACCAAAGCAATCTAAGAACAGCGCGCGTGTATCTCCTGTGGTGTCCACCGCCCTTTATAAGAGTGTTGGACTGGTTGATACAAGGTTCGATCTTTGTACCTCACAGTTAGGAATTTAGACTCCCCTCCCTGGCAACCCCCCTATAACTACTAAAAATAAACAATATGTCTGTAGGTTTCTTTGTACCTACCCAAGCCTCACGTTTCTTATCTTTTCTTTAAGACGAAAAGAATGTTCAAATTAAGATTAAGAGACTTTAGATTATGGTTGTCAGGCTATTTCAATCAGGGAGTATACTATCGATCATAGAGATAATACTCTATACTCCTAAGCACCAAATGCTTCCGAGTACCAGTCACAAAATTTGAGGAGCAAAAAATAAATCCCAAAGTCACGTGGTAAAACACATTCACATCATATCCAAAAAAAATGTGCAAATGCATGCAAGTACCATCTCCATTGTACTAGGTCTTAATCATACAACAAAACGAACAGCTTATTAAGACAAATCATGCATAATTCGAGAACAAAAGGAGAAATAAGAGTAGTTTGAGAACAATGGCGATAACAAGACATAACAGGATGCAATGACAGCTCAAACAAAGTAAAGATGACAGCCCCACACATTTATTTTACTTCATGGGATCAGTTATTGATGCTTGAAAGTAAACACTTGGTCAGAAGTCTCTATTGATGTCCAATTATGTTAAGAGATCGTTTCAAGTGTTGCTTACGCCATATGCGAAAATATGAACTGAAAGTTGTTCTTACTCTCGTTCTTGTGATTTTCCATGAGTCAAAGTAGACACATACTGAAATGGGTGAGCTTGTGGGGCCTGGTGAATGTAAATGTTAGTCCGTTACAATGACGTTAAACTCTAGCAAAAACACATTCACAAATCCCATCATGCCAATGCCAATTAGGTAACACGTACACCTTTCACATTTGCATGACTTCAAGTGGTTGTGTAGGCATCATGAATCCAGCCGCTTCATACGAATGCCACTACTACCCAAAAAAAATCATTATTTTATAAAATATTTTCCCAACGGATAAATGATGAAATAGGAGATACAGAATTTCGTACCTTTCTGCGTCCTTGTACATCTCTAGTTTATCTTCCAGCCCAGATACTGATAGGAAAATCTACTTTTACATATCATTGTTATACGTTTTTTTCTCTATTTCAATAAACCACATCAATTCTAGCAGAAATTAATAGTTTCAACAATTAGTTAATCTTATGGGAGCACAAATGCAAAACTACATCATTTGTAAATTTACCTATCAATTTAAAAATAAAAGACCCAAAATGGTTCCAAGGCCTATAGCCAACCAGTGTAGGTGCAGTGTTCAAATGAAAGGGACATTTTTAGGCAGAAGCCAGATAGTGCTCATTTTCATCGTCTCATTGTTGTTCAGCCATATTGGAATTTTAAATCCCTGAAACAATATGGAACATCCTTACAGTAATACCCAAAAACGGATCCGACCAATAACAGAAAAGTTATTATCATTAAATACCTCCGATCAACCTTAATTGTACAATTAGCTAAACCTCACACGCGACACCCACCCTAACAATTGTGACTCATAAATATCCAATGCATCTATTGGCTGGATCTGGAATATGATACTTTTGATGTCCTGGGCTATCAATAAGCTTTAATATTATCACATGCTGATCAATATGCATTAGCCAGTATTGCTTAAGAAACATTTCAGGAGTTGAGCAAGAAGAAATACTCCCCAAGTACTTTCAATTCAATCACTAATGGGGCAAACATATTTTCTTAATCAACATTCAATAAGAAAATATGTCTGTTTCTTGATATAATAAAACTTAAAACTAGATTATATTGCCATATTTTAAATAAAACATACGTATCTCTTCATCCGTTCTTCCTATTTGACCCGAAACCACCGATCGATCAGGCTGGAAAAGACCCATAAAAACTCTGCATCCGTTTCCTACAACTGCAGAAACTAAAGCCACATTTCTGCCTAGGGCATGGATAGGCCCTGACGAAACAAACATGGTGCCACGGTGGTTACCCAAGAGTTTCTACAGTTCAAGAAACATGTAAAGGCCATCTACATTCAAAAATAAGATAAAAGATAAATCCATTATGGACAAGATTTTTAGTCATTATTAAAGAAAAAGGAGAATGAGCGGAGGTTGGGTTGCGGGCACCAGAGAGAGCACATATGAAATAATGTGTTAAACTTAATTATCCGACAACACTTCTCTAAAGAAAGGAATGCACAAACAGGAGATTGAGGATTTAAGCAACAACAAACACATATCACCAACTGGAATTATGCTTAAGAAAACAGCACACACACCAAATAAAGTTGAAACGGATCGCTTGAACTGGCCCTGAGCAAAACATTAACAAATCCAAGTTCAAATTCTTTATCAAAATGAAGTCAACACAGACACATTTAATGTATATGCAGAGAACCAAAATGGCCACAATTTACAAAGTACAAGCAAGAAAGACACCTAGGCAACAACTACTGCAATTATAAGAGCCTTTGAGCTGTGCAAGCGAATGTACAACCACCTTCCAATGAAGAAATTTCACAAGTGACACAAAAAATACTCAAGAGTTAAGTTAGAGCAGGTCACCGGTATAAGCTGTCTCTACATTATCTCCCCATGTCTAAACCCACCGTCACTACAATCAGCTCCGGTATCCAATCCACCAGGAGAGAAAAACCATTTTGGGTTTTCAGGGTAGAAGCTGTTTACCTGTATATCAGCAAGACCTACTGCATCTGAGCTTATTATCTCGTCATGTCTTAAGGGCTTGATCAGCTTAGGGTTACTGCACTCAATATTACCCTTCTGATCAAAGTCGCCACAGTTAAACCACTTCTCTTCTTTATAGTTCTCATGAAGGATGTCCTTCCCATTCCCGCCTTCTATCCTCATTTCATTCCAAGAAGCAACTTCCCCGAGAGTTCTTCCAAAGCTGGCCTCATCATCTTCCAAACCATCCGCATCCTTAGCAGCCCCATAGATCCTTGTGTGATGGTCATCAACCCAATCCGGCAAATCATGCTCCACGACTAACACATCATCCAGATCCTGCTTATCCGACAGCAACGCAACAGATTTTGAACCATCGTCCCCAACATTTCTAAGTTTATTCACAATTTCAAAAAGCTCACTTGACACGGTATCCAGCAACGAGGGAGGCATTTTCCCAATCCTACCCTCCAGCAAACCCAACTCATTTCTCAATTCCTGGACCTGCTGCAAAAGCGTATTCTGCAGATCTCCCGATTTATTTCCCGAGAACCCAAAACTCTCGGTTTCCCCATCATCAGCCATCCCGTACAAAGTCTCCTGATCCATCAAAACAACCCCTTTGTGCCCAAACACTCGATGCATGATCCTTGCATTCCCATCCAATGGCCCCGGCTCGTGCCCTGAATGCACCGCATAAAGCTTAAACATAGCTGTTCCCTCTTCCTCATATACAAATGTCTTTTCCTTTTCATTATAGTTTGATATTGGTACTATCGCCCTTATACGAAACTGACAACCACATCGTTTGGAAGCATATGGCTCCCTTTTGAGGAACCGAGGCTTTTTCGCAGGCTCGCCTGCCCTGTGGCATGCGTAATCCTTAACCTCAGCCATAAATGGCTTGTACCTAATGTATTTCTGCCTTATGCACAGCACGACCTTGTGCTTGGCTGCCAGCTGTTGCAACCTCGCCTGCACTTCCTTGGCGGGAACATCGAGAGACTCCGTGTATTCAAATTTACGCTTCTTGGACCTTGGTGCGCAGCCAGAGGACTCATCCAGGCATAAAGGACAAGCAGCCACACATGTCTTGATATAACTCTCGGGTATGCCATAATATTTGGCCCCCACGGTCCAGACCTGCTTAACTCTCTCTATAGTATCTTTTAACCCTAAGTGCTGGATATCGGGATCGCAATGGAAAGACATGACAATGTCCTGCCACTGATCAATATGCGAGACGAATTGGCCGAGATTATTTTTGAAACAGAGGAAATGAGTTCCGTTACCGGCGACTGAGGCAGCGGATTCCGACACGTTGACGGTGAGCTTATCCTGTATGCGCTTCCACGCCGTCAGATAGGCCGTGTCAACGTTTCGATCTTTCCATACCGAGCGCCAGGTGGATAGCAGCGGAGGCGGATTCACCGCTCGGATTTCTTCCGTCGTCGCCGTCCGCCCCTCGATCAGGCATCGAATCATTAGGGCATGCGAATCCCTATTGAAGGTGTAGAATTGGGCGGAAACATGGGGCTCGGGGCTAATTCGAACAGGGGGCTGCTGAATCGGCCTCTTGCCGCGGTCGATCGGCGGCGGAGGGTCCTGCAGCTTAGGGCTGCGGGCGGGCACAGCGCGGCCGTTCGGGATGGGGACGGGAATCTCGGCGTCCGAGGAGGTGTTGCTGGCGTCGTCGTCGTAATCTTCGTCAACATCGCGGAAAATATCGATCCCGGCAAGCGAGAAGGCGTCGCCGTCGATGGGCGGGTGGGCGGGGTCGGTAAACTGGTAGCGGTGGTGATGGTCACGGCGGGCCGGTGGCGGGCCGAGGTGGTGGAAGAGGTCCTCGATTTTGCTTGGATTCATTTGGGGAGAAGACGGAATCATTACAGCCAAAAGGAAGAAGCTTTTCTTCACTGTGAGTGAAGTAGGAGAGTTTGTCAATGGACGGTATGTAATCACTGGTCAGTCGTTTTGACATTTAGAGAGGAGGTCAACCTGTATTTTCTTCCTCTACAAATATAAACGAGCCGAGCTAATTGAGAAGGATTGAATTATTATTTTTTTAGTTGCTCGAGCTCAAGTTCGTCGAACTTGATTTTTTTACTCCAGCTCGACTCGAATAAAAATTGTATAGCCAGAGCTCGGCTCGAGCTCAACTCGAAATCAAAATGGTCGAGCTCGGCTCAATTTTTTTTAAGTGGAAAGGTTTAGTAAATTACATGTATCTGGAGCCACTCGACAAGGCAAAATATGGGCTCGAGCCGCTCGAGCTCGAGCTCGACTTGAGTTTGGTCAAACTCGAGCTCGAGTCGAGTTTTGACTCGAGCGCTCGCGAGCCGCTCGATTCGTTTGCAGCCCTACATATAAAGGATCATATGAAAATAAGGTTGGTGAAAGAAATAAGAACAAATAAGATTTGTCCAAACACTGAGATTAAATCTTACACATTTAAATCAGATTGGACAAGGTGACACATGCATAATTATTGCTCAATTACATGGTGATGTATATGTTGATGGCGACGAGATCGCATTGGCATATTTGTCACGCTATGATCGGCTCAGGGTCTAGAAGATATTTATCGCATTTATTATCTATTTTCCTTCTTTTATTGGTTGTCTTA